TGTTCAACATCAATAAGGGTAGAAACTGAAAGAAGATTGGGTCAATGGAAAGACATAAATGACCTTAAGGAGAGCAGTTTCACAGAAATGGGCCAGATTCCAGACGATTAGAGGGAGAGTGAATTACTAGAGGCTGCAGATTTAAATTACTGATTTGAGAAGTTTAACTCTGAGGGGCATGAGAGCAGTTGAACTTTATTTTGACTGGGCTTCACAGAATTTTCTCTGAATATAGTACCAATTTTATAGTGTTTAAATGAGATTAGTCAACAAGCATTTGAATGCCTACTATATGCTAAGCACTGTGCTACATGCTAGAACTATACAAATATAAACAATACCTCTTCTCAAAGAGTGGTGAGAAGCTTGAGATGGGCGACCAATTAAGAGGCACTTTTAATAAGCTACATGAGAGGAGATTTGGGTTTGAACTAAGGTGGTAGCAGAGTGAGTAGAAAGAACGGATTTATTACAAGAATGCTGAGGAGATAAAAATGATAAGCTGTAGGAAGTGACTGGATATATAAAATGAGGCCGAGTGAAGTTAAGGATAGATAATTATAAAATTTCAAAAATTACCAACTAGGGAAACTATCAGAATGCTAGTACCTTTGACAGAAATAGGGAAGGCTGAAAGAGAGATGAATTTGGGAGGAAATATAATGAATTCTCTTTTGGACACGTAGAGTTCGAGGTGTTTCCCAGAAATCAAGTTTGAAATATCCAATAAACAGTCGTTGATGTGATATTGAAGCACAGGGGAGAAGCTGAGACTCGATAGATAGCTCTTTGAGTCATGTACATTTGATTAGGTGATGTAGAAAAGGAATAGAAGAGGACCTAGGGCAGAGGTAACACTGCAGTTAGGGGTATGATAACATAGTAAGCTTTCAGATGGAACTAAGAAGATATGGTCAATCAAGGTAGGGGAGAACTAGGAGAAAATAATGCCATATAAACCCGGAGAAGTTTATCTTCAACAGAGAGGTTGAGAAGGAAGAGGACTGAGAAAAGATTCAGATTGATAACTTTGGAAAGAGCAATTTCAGTCAAGTGAGAAAAGGTCAGTGGTCAGATACAAAGAGTTGAGGAATGAGTGAGACCAGATGAAGTAGAAACAATGAGTGCAGAAAGCTTTTTCTGAACATTTGACTGACAAAGATCAGAGATGTGGGACCATAGCACTGGAGAATATTAGGGTCTAATGGAGGTTTCTTAAAGATGAGAAAGACTTGATCATATTTGATGACATAAGAGAAAGAACTAGTAAATAGGGAACAGGTAGATTGGGGATGGGAGAGCATGACTGAAGCTGCAATCTAGTGGTGAAGATGAGGGGGAATGAGATCAAAGTCACATGTAGGAATTGGTCTTAGAACAGAGAAGGTCCATTTCATCACCAGAGACTGGAAGAAAGAAAAGAGTGAACAGTTATGTAAACGGCAGAAGAAAAAGGGCTAGCAGAAAGGTAGCTATTAAAGATAGAAGTGTTGGAGTGAGATTTTTGTATAGATTCTCAGTAACTGGGAATGTACAGCATCCAAAGCTCAACTTAATTTTAAAAGTAATTATGAAGCATCCAGTAGGTGCTTAGAATTGTGCTAAGCATGAGAGATACAAAGACTGAAATAGTCCCTGCATTCGTTTAGTTTACATTATACAGGGGGTACAAGATATGCACAAATAAATTCTCTCTCTTCCTGTATACACATACACATGCACACATGCATGCACGCACACACACAATATTAAAATGCAGCATTTCAGGGTCAGGGGACAAGGTGGAACACTTGGGAAAATCACGAAAGGCCCTGTTTATGTGACACAATTTCAGCTAGGAACTTCAAAAGACAGGATGAGGGAGAGCATTCTGAATGTGGGGTGCAGTGCAAGGACAGAGGGCAAACATGGAATGTTGTGAATGTGGAATATCAATTAGGCAGGTTTATTGGAATTTAGAATGTATGTGGAAGAGGAGTATATTATCAGTCTAAAAAATAGTTAGGCCACAGATTATAAAAAAGTCTAAATGCCACAAATATTTTATCTTAACCACAGTGAGGAGCCCCTTAAGCTTTTTAAATAAGAGATTATTTTAGGAATATCAGTTTCTTACTTCTATGAGGATAGACTGGGAGATATATCAGAAGGCTATTAAAACAATAACAACAACAATAATAACAATAGCTAGCATTTATTTAGCACTTTGAACTTTACATAGTACTTACTGATACTGTCTCTTGCTCACAACTACCCTGGGAGATAGGTGCTATTATTATCCCCATTTTAGAGATAAGGAAACAGAGACAGGCAGATTAAGTGATTTGCCCAAGGTCACACAACTAGCAAGTGTTTGAGGCAAGATTCAAACTGAGATCCTCCTGATTCCACGACCAGAGCTCTATCCATTGTACCATATAGCTGCACGTAAGAGGTAGTGATGACCTACAGTGGAGTAGTGGCCTGTGTGAGTATAGAGAAGGAGATGGCTTTTAGAGATACAGACTTAGCAACTGATTGGATGAAGGAAAAGAGAAGAGTTGAAGATTGCTTTTAGGATTACTCCAGGATTATAAATCTGTATGACTAGAAGAATGGTGACACTTACTAGCTGTGTGACCCTGGGCAAGTCACTTAATCCCAACTGCCTTTAAAAAAAAAAAGAAAGAAAAAAAAAAGAAGAATGGTGGTGCCTTTAACAGATATAAGGTACTAAGAGGAGTGAATATATGGGTAGAAATAATAAGTTCTTTTTATGGAAGACAGCATGTCACACTAGAAAATATTATGAACTTAGAGTAATGGGACCTGAATTTAAATCCTAGATGTCCCACTTATTACCTTGTGACCTTAAGTAAATCCCTCACTCTCTGGGACTTAGTTTCCTTATCTTTTTAGAGTGATAGTTTTAGACAAGATGACCTCAGAGATCTTTCCTGCTCTCCTCTTGACACTCTTGATTTTTCCACTTCCATCTCAGCAACCTTCTCACCTTTGGATGTACCTCCAACACTGTGGCCTCCAATTGGTGAGCTTCTGCCCAAAACCACCAATTAAGGAAATGCCCAGGCCATCTTTACTCATTTCTCTCTTAGGGCCCCTCTTAATACACTGGATTTTTCCACCTTCTCTCCACCTGGGGACTGGCCCACTCAATCTCAATTTCCAGCTCCCTTTTATGTGTTGTTTTCCCCATTTCAAATTTAAACTCCTTAAACATAGACACCTACTCTTGAAGTTAATATTTGTGTTCCTAGGGCTTAGTTTAGCTCTTGGCACATAGTAAGCACTTAATAAATGCTTTATCTATTTACATAGATATCTCTGATCTTATGTTGAGTTTGAGATATCTATGGGATATCCAACCCTTTTATATCATTTTTTTTTCTTTTTTCCCCTTTCCCCAGTACGTTTAAGAGTCTTTCATTTATACTCTATCCTTTTTTTTTTAATACTGTCATTCTTAAGGAATTTTATTCTTTCAGGAGTATATAATTATGCAAAAGGAATAGAATCGCCTTTGGTTCATTATACAGGATTACAAAGATGGACATTTTTTTGTTTAATATAATTAAGACTTTTTTATCAATTATATAATGTTAGATGTCACTGGACTGTTTCCTAATATAATATGTTCCCTGAACATAAAGATTCAAGCAGAGGCTTGATTCAGTCCTTTAGAAATGTTGTAGAAGAAATTCCTGCTTCGGACAGAAATTGGATTAGACCAGGGTTTCCCTACCCAAACTCTTCTGAAGCCTAGTAAAAGAAAGTTCTTTGTGAAATGAGGCAAAAAAATTTTGACATGGCCAATGTATTGATTTGTTTATCTTAACCATATTTATTTGTTGTCAGTGGGGGTTCTATTATGGGGAATAGGTCAATAGAAGTTAAAGTAATGTTTTAAATAATCAATAAAATATTTGAGAAATGAAGTAACTAAGTTCTCTACTATAGATCACACCTTCCTGCACAGCCTGAGCAGGTCCAGAAAGGAGACAGGAAGCCGTAGGTGAGAGGAGTAGGTATTAAGAAGCAAATACCTTTGGTATTGAAAGGGATGTATATTGGTATAAATTTCCCCTTAAACCATGACTGTCAGAGGAAATCACCCAGGAAATACTAAACTGGGTTCCTTCTAAAATTTTATCATCAATAATCAACTAATTTGGAGTTTTAGTGTCATTTGAGATCTATAAATATGAAAAATAAATTAGTGGAGGTGCATTACAAATGATTCAGATGCTTGTTTATGAATTGTAAATGGTTTATTCAACGGAGAAGAAGTTATTTACAGGCTAATATGAAGATTTTTGCTTTAGGACCCTTATGAATATTTAATTGTAAGCATGATTAAGGGAGTAGTTTCCTCCTAAAAGAGGTGGGCTTTCCAAATTTTATTGTACTATTTGTTTTCTATCTCAGTGGCTAACAAGAAGGCTGTATATAAATGGTATATTGAAAAGAGACCTGGACTTGGTATTATGAATCCTGAGTTTTAGTCATTGCTTTACCACTTACTAGCTGTAACATCTTAAAAGTCACTTAAATTTCTGATCCTTAGTTTCCTCATCTGGACAAACTATATGTCTGTCATAAATTCAGAGATGTTCATCAGCAAATTGGCCACAAGTCCCATCACAAGACTGTATAGATCCAAGACCAAATACAAAAGTTGTGATCAGTGTCCAAAGAGGAGGTATCCATATAAATGGAGGTATAGATCATTGAAATTTTGAAATATAGTCCTTGTACTGCTTACCTCACAAAGGCGTTCTAAGGAAAGTGCTTCATAAACTTTAAAGTTCAAAATCATTCTGAGTTGTGATTACTTACTGGGAGGTAGTGTTTTTAAATATATCTTCTGGCTGTTACATTTGATCTAAAAAGCATTGAGTCCAAACCATTCTAATGGTTCTTGAAGTGTTATTATCTCAAGTTTATTGGTACCTCATTAATTACATGTATATTACAAGTGATTCTTGACTTGTTGTTTCTAGTTGCATGAACATGCAGCTTACCTGGTGGACAGTTTGTGGGAGAGCTCTCAAGAACTATTGAAAGATTGGGAATGTATGACAGAATTGTTATTAGAAGAACCTGTCCAAGGAGAAGAAGGTATAGTATTTTGAATTTTTTATTTGCCATTTCTTTAATATTTTTTCTCAATTGAAAATTACAGTAACACGGATAGATTATGTATTTGTCATATAACAAGGGTTTTAATTTCTTGTCCTACATTTCAACAGAAAAACTTGTTCAATTTTAGCACATAAAAATGCTGTTTAACAGGACTTACTTTTCCTGCAAAAGTAAGGGGGAAAGTTCAAGTCCTTGAGGTTGGTGACAAGGACAAAATAAAGTCATGATATCCCAGTAATCACTAAATGTTTCCAAGTTTGATACTTATATGTCATTTTACAAGTGTAAAAAATACCATATAATAGTCCAATAAGCTTATATTATTAGTTGGTTGCAAATATTCAACTAATTTTTTATTTCTTAGAATACGAAACAGTGATACATTTTTAGCAACTCTTTTTATGTGGAAATTTTGAAAGTCTTTTTAGGCACACAAAAAAGTTAAACTATATCTCAGTCTCCCATTTTTTAAAATCACATTTTCTTAAATCAAAATAATGTAGTGACAATAAGATTGTTTGCCTGGGTTTAAAAGCAATAAATAATATGACAGTACTGACCACATGAGAATATTTGATTATTACACCATAGGTTTCATTCATGGATTTTTAAATATCTTGCACTGTTGGGTATTGGCATCTTCTTTAAACATGTTAAAAATAATATAAGTATAAGAGCTTCCAAATGAAGAAATTTGTTTTATTTATTTTTCTTTTTGTTTTATGTGAGGCAATTGCAGTTAAGTGACTTGCCCAGAGTTACACAGCTAGTGAAGGTTATGTGTCTGAGGCCGGATTTGAACTCACGTCCTCCTGACTCGAGGGCTGGTGCTGTATCCACTGTGCCACCTAGCTGCCCCAAGAAGTTTGTTTTAAAGTTAATTGTTTGTAACTGGAAATGGAATTTCTGATAGAAAATTCTTCCTAGACTAGGTCACAAAAGCTTATTTGTTTGCCCCATAATGTATCCAGAGTGTTTTTACTCATAATAATGATGCCTCTCTGTATTTGCATAAGACAAAGTAAATTTCTAGATCAATCATAACCCATTTTTCCCAAATTGAGGAACAAAGGAAAGGACTATTAAAACAGGGGATCCAAAAATGGATTCCTCCACTTAACTATATGTTTGGGATATTTATAAGTTGGGGGGATATTTATAAGTTGGGGACATATCTGTATTATGATTCATATCTATATTATGATTCATGATACAACAATGACTCATCTCCCTCTCAAAAAAAGAATTCTTTTCTCCCAAATTTTTTTATTCACTGTTTCTCATAGCTTCTTTTAGTGTCTTTCAAAAATGTTAACCTTGGAGCAGCTAGGTGGTGCAGTGGATAGAGCACTGGCCCTGGAGTCAGGAGGACCTGAGTTCAAATCCGGCCTGAGACCAAACACTTGACACATAACTAGCTGTGTGACCCTGGGCAAGTCATTTAACCCCAGTTGCCTTAAAAAAAAACTGTTAACCTCATTAATGAAATTAAGTCATTAATATTTAAATAAGTAAAATTAAATAATAAAAATATATTCACTAAGGAGCACTATGTATTTTAGGTTGGTGTATTGTGATTTAGACTCAGCTATCATTTGTATTCTTTTCTGTTAAAAATCATAAGTAGTTTGGTTTCCTAGGAAGGGTACTTTGAAGTCTAGAGTTAGGGCCAGAATTTAGAATATAGCTCCATAAAGCTTGTCAACAAAATTGATGTGTGGGGAGGAAAAGATATGTAGGAAGTATCCTTGCCACTTAAAAGCAGAAATAAGTCCCAAACCATGCATATCATTTACTATATCTTGATTTATCTGTGTGTATACACAATATGTACATACTTATCTTAACATTTGGACACTGACTCTGCTGAATTCTATCTTGAGCCTCTAAGAGCTTATTCATTGTTGAAATGGCAGGGGTTCCGTCTTCATTAAGCAAAGAAAAGTAAGTTAATGGGTTTAAGCATTTTCTAACTTTTAAAAATCATTGTTTTTAAGGTCTTTTTTGAACTTGAAATGTAATATCTAATGTTAACAATTTTGAAATAGTGTTGTTTCATGTATGTGTGTATTTATGTACTTTGGCTAGGGAGATTTGGGGTGACTAGGGCGTTGTCTTAAGGGGAAAAAAGATAACTTTGTTAGTAAACAATTTGAAAGAAATCTTCTCTGCCTACCTTTAATTAATATCTTAGCACCCTGATTAATTTTCTAATGAGATAATATTTGTAAAACACTTGATATCGTGCTTGTCAAATGGTAGGCATTTTATGAATGCTTATTCCTTTCCTTCCCCCAGAAGAATTCCAAGATTGTTGGGTACTTTAATATTCTAAAGTACACTCTTTCCTTCTGGTACTACTATATTACTAACTAATCCTTTAGAGACTTTTACTTTCCATGAGGTATTTTATTAGTTTGGTAAAGATTGACTTGAGCTACCCAGGCATGTTAGAAATACATTTCATATCAATAGAAAAAAGTTGAAAAATTGTTCTTGGTTTTGAATGGCATTTATGTATAAAGGAATATGTGTCTGGGCAACAGACAGAAAGAAAAATTGATGAAACTTGATGACTTATCAGATATGGGGAGATAAAATCAAAGATTCTTAAATTGTCTTTAATAGAGATAATGGAGAGAAGTATTGTGAATATATATGATAGGAAGAGAAGGTGATGCAGAGGAATACAACTGGAGAAATAATGAGTTAGGTTTTAGGAATGCTGAGCTTAAGATGACTAAAGACATTCAAGAAGACTCCATTACATAGTCAGAAATACAGCAGTCTTGAGAGTACAGATTTGGAAGTCATTTACATAGAGCCATGGTAATGGATGAGTTTTTGAATTGACAAGTTGGAGTACTGATGGATAAAATGATGATGGATATTTATAATACATTTTAAAGTTTGCAAAGCACTTAACATGCATTCTTTCATTTGAGCTCACAACAGTCCTTTGAGGTAGGTATCACAAGTATTATTACTCTCATTTTAGAGAGGAGAAAACCAAGACTTACAGACGTTGAGCAACTTACCCTCCCATGGTCACACAACTGGTAAAAGTCAGTGGTAGTATTTGAAACCAGGTCTTCTTTATTCCAAATCTAGCCCTCCATGCACTGCTCTTCTCTACTGCTGAGTCATACAGAATACCTCCAGATAGGGGTCAAGAGGAGAAAGTCAAAGGGATTTTCAGAGATATTTTCAGTGGGGAGAGAGCATAGTCAGTAATGTCAGTTATAACAGAAAAGTTAAGTAATTAGAATTGCACAAAGGCCATTTGATTTAGTGATTAATAGATCACTGATGGCTTTCAAGAATATAGTTATAATAGAATGATGAAGCTGAAAGTCATATTGCAGAAAATTAATGAGTAAAAGAGTGTTTAAGGAATAGTGGCAGTGCCTGAGAGTAGAACATTTATGTTATCTGACAGTTCATAGCATCCATTTTGAAAAGAGAATTGGTTAAATATCCCTTGTCCTTGGCCCTTTAGAAAGCTATCTTTTAAAACTGTTCAGTTATTTTGGTTTCAGATAGTGTAACTAAAGTAGTACTTAGGATAGAATTAAATTACAAGTGCTAAAAGATGTGCCCAAATTCCAGCTTTCTTAAATACTTTTCCAAATGGTAATTTAAGATTAGGAAGGCATTTACTAAAACCATTAACATCTGTAAAATAAGGTGTTATGCAGCATGATTTCTAAGGTCCCTTTCGCATGTGAGTCCCATGGTCTCACTACATTCTGTTTTCATTAGGAAAGGAAAGAGGAGGAATTCAGGGCTTGTAAGAACTTGTGATTGTACTGTAACAGAAGTCCCGGAAGGTTTGGTGGTGGGAAGCTTTCTAAGGGAAAATATTTGTACTGTTTCACTATGAAAAACTCTGAGGTATTTCTTCATTTTGATCACTTAAGGACTACATAGGTTTAATTAACATATGGATTCATAAACTTACTCTCTATCCCTAACCATATCTTACTGATAGTAAAGTTAATGAAATGTAACTTGAAAGGAACAGATTTTTTTCTTGGTAAGTATTAATACATTATAATTAGTCTAGCAGTATTTTACTTTGATGCTAATAATATATAGACAGAAATTTACGAGTTTAACATTTCTTCCAAAGATGAGTAAGCCTTTTAATTGAAAGGTGATTGACTTAATCTTGGAAAACAAATGATGGAATATACTTTGAGCCTTTCAGGAGAAAGGTGGGAAACTATAGGTGCAGAATGTTATGTATACTATCAGATGTCCAGTTTGATTTGCTTTAACTGTCATTCTTTGTTATCAAGAAGACTTATTGAGTACAAGAATGTCATCTAGAAATGACTTTGATGCAAAGCAAAAAGCTTTTTAAAAATTCTTTTTTTTTTTTTTTTTTTACAAATCTAGCCTCAGAAATGATACTCGCTAGCTGTGTGACCTTGGGCAAGGCACTTAACCCTGATTACTTCACCAAAAAAAAAAAAATAAAGAAATTTAACTTACTTTAAAGGAAGATAATTAAACAAAAATAGACTTTACATAGAAATGCAGTCTATTTTGCCTTTTGTGTGCTAATTCATCCCTCTGAAATCAAATCTTGTTTTATCAAAATGTCTAGTCAGATTTCATGTTTTTTAATCTTAGATGTCAGGGCATTTTCTTGTAATTGATTCTCAGTTGCCTTACAAATCTTCCTATCTGTCAGCATTATACAAGAAAAAAACTTAAATGAAAACCAGATTAACTGAATTTTGTTGTTCATAATCAGTATTGGTGATATACTGTTTTATAATTATCATTTTATTTGGCATATGATTATTGGAACATGTCTAATCATACTCTTTTTCTTTCACCTCAGCAATGTCTGACCGGCAAGAGAGCGCTCTTATAGAGCTGATGGTCTGTACGATTCGTCAGGCTGCTGAAGCCCACCCTCCAGTGGGGAGAGGAACTGGCAAGAGAGTAAGCTTCATCAATATTCGTGGAATGTGACTGGCAGAGAAATGCATCTAAATTATTTTTGATAATTGGTTCATAAAATTAAGCTCTAAGATGTATTTATCCAGCTAAGTACTTGAAGTGCAGACTTTTTTTTAAATTGTCACAATTTTTCCCCTCCTGCCACCCCAGAAAAGTAAAACAAAACCCTTACAACAAATTAGCATAGTCAAGCAAAACAAATTCTAACCTAAAAATTTCCTTTAGGGCCCACAGCAGTACAAATTCAGAATCTAAATTTTTAAGGGCATTTTACTTTATTTGGATTGTTACAGCTAGGGAATTCTAAATGTCAAAAAGAGAGACATTTAAAAAGCAAGTATTTGGGGTTCCTTACCTGTTATCCCTTGTTTACTTCTGAGGTTCCTAAGAGATGTATAATACTCATTATAGAAGTTCCAGTTCGTTGCACAATCTTTATTAATGAGTGAAGTGCTTGCCCTGAGTCTTTGTTCTCTTTCCTTTCCTAATGAACCATAATAAGAATAATCATTGGATTTAGATATGAAAGGGACCTTAGATATCATATAATAAATATTCCCACTTTATAGATGGTGATGATAATAGTAGTAGCTCATCTTTATAGTTCTTTATTTATGGTTTTAGAAATAATTTTCTCTCAACAACCCTATGAAGTTTAGGTAGTACAGATGTTCTGGTACCCATTTTATAGATCCAGAAAACTAAAACTCAGGGCAGTTGAGTGGCTTGTCCCCATTTATACAGCTGATAAGAGACAAAGTCAGGACTTGAACCCAAATACTCTGGAATCTAAACTCAATGTTCTTTCTACTGCACTATCCTGCCTTTCAGAAGAGGATGTTTTTCATTCTCTGTCCCCACCATGGAAGATTATTCTACTTCCTCTGAACCTTTTCCTGTTTTAATTACCTCTTTTTCCATTATTCTTCACAATTAACATTTCCTTATCTCTTCCTCTCTTTGATGCTTTTCCCTAACCCTGCCTAAGAAGGGTGAGTGCCTACAGAAAAGGTATTGTGAGCTAGTGTAATGTTTTCCCAGTCCAGACTGTACTTAGGACTGGTAATATACTTAAATGTTTTACTACAAATTCCTCTGCCCTCCGGTAGCCTCCGTGCACTGACTTAGGCAAGAGCAGGAGAAGCAGATGCACAAGGAAGACTCAGTTTTTTATTGTTTTGTTTTTCATATATATGGTTTAAGAAGTAAGGATCATTGGTTATAAACACTTTTTGAACTGATTAAAAATTTGCTGCTGACTAGTGCCAGTCCATAGGCCAGTGGAAATGCTTTGGCAACTGAATGGTAGATGGATTAGAGTGAGGAGAGACTTGAGGCAGGCAGACCCACCAGCAGGATATTGCAGTAATTCAGGCATGAAGTGATGTGGGCCTAGGAGAGAAGAGCATGTATTCAAAAGATATTGCAATGGTGAAATTGGCAGATCCAGGCAATGGATTAGATATGGGGGGCTTGGGTGTGAGAGATAGTTAGGAATACAGGATGCTTCATAGGTTGTGAGCCTGAGGAACTGGGAGGATGGTGTTCTCTATAGTAATAAGGAAGTTAGGAAGAGAGGAAGTTTAAGGGACAAAGATAACAAATTCTGCTTTAGACATGTTGAGTTTAAGATGTCTACTGGACATCCATTTCAAGATTCTGAAAGATAATTGGAGATGCTAAATTACAGATCAGCAGTGAAGCTGGAGCAAGATAAATGGGTTTAAGAATCATCAGCATAGAGATGGCAATTAAATCTATGGAAGCTCATCCATGATGAAATCACCAAGTGTAGCAGTAGAACCGTTCCTTCTTCTTGAAGTATCTTGCACTTATCAAGAGAGCCCTCAACTTCTTATTGTCTGACCCCCCAGGTCCTTGCATGGAAGCCATCAGAGACTTAGAGGGGAAGATGTGTTTCTGATATCTAAATTTGGAACTCTGAATGTTCTTTCCTATATGAACCTTGATCTACAACAACAAGGTTCAGTTGTACTGTTAATAGATTATCATGCTTAAAATATGATATGGGAAAAATAGATATTTCTAAGTTAACTTGCTGGATATAACTAGCCTGGAAACATTTTTATGAGACTATACATCGTAGGTCCCAACTCACTTATAAACTTTTGCAACAATAGTGAATTTTCACTGTCTAGATTTTTAAAGATATTCATGTCACCAAAATTCTCTCCTAATATTAAAGAATTATAAATGGTCAGTAGGCTCAAAACTGTTGAACTGGATTTATATCAGATTTTTTTCTTCTTTTAAAACAGATTCTTAATAACATTAGACTCAGCTTTCTCTAGTTCTTGTATAAGCTAAATCCGTTAAGCAGAGAACTAAATAATACTGGTCAAGGTTGAACATGGAGATAGACATTATTATATCAGTCTTTGGTCTACAAAAACTCTTTCACCTTAACCACACAATTCATAGCCTTTCTCAAGCTATTCTTGAAACCCTGTGGTTCCATGAAGCAGTTTAAAGGATTTTGAAATCCTTTGCAAAAAGGAAAAATAATATAATTATAGACAGGCCTCACACAGCAAGCCTATTTAGCTTATCTTGCTGTTAATAGATGCCACTTCAGTACTTCCCCTGCAGATCCTTCCACGGTTGGATAGGAAGAGGGAGCATCCACCAGGAGCTATCACTTCTGGCAAGGTAGGTGATGGGCCAGGCCCAGATGCCTGAGACCAGCAGAGTTCCAGTGCCCAGGGCATGAATAAGAGCCAAAGAACTGACTGCTTCTACTGCTCCTTGTTCCCTTCTGTCTATTGTAGAAAGCTCTAAATGTTTGCCACCTAATTAGTTAAGGTAAAAAGTAGGAGTTAGCTGTGGCCTTTGTATCAGGTCACCTTAAGTGCAGTGTTGCTACTGTAAGTTGGATACCACAGTTTCTTTGCTTCAGAACCCTGGGTCTTGTCCTAGGTCATTTACTCCTCAGGTTTGGCATTCTCTGCTCCTTTGTAGCTGTGCTGCTGCTCTTAATATTTCCTTTGATTGCTCCTGAGCCCTCAAACTCTCATGAGCACAACCTTTTTACTTTTTTCTGTAGCCTTTAGCCTACTTCACACCTTTCTATTTTCTTCTAAATTCTTTTCCACCTATCTGCTCTACCACAATAGGTGAGATCCTTGTAATAAAAAAAAAAAATTTAAGTTTTTTTAAATTACTATGATGGTTGGTACCAAATCAGGCAGAATAAACATTAGAACTTCTCAAATCTGCCTTCAGAAAACAAGTTTGAGGAGAACAAATATCTTCTTCTAATTGCCTTCTCATTTCAAGCTTACAGAGTAGAACATCAGAAGAAAGCTTCCTAAGAATTATGGTCATTTTTCTTCACATACAGACTCTTCCCTCAGACCAGTAGGAAAGAAATACGGAATTTCAGTGCAAAATGTAGCATTTCACCCTTTTAGTAGATAATGAAAAGGAAAGAGACAAATTCATATCTCTCCTGGTTCATTTTAATAGGAAACTGAGAAAAGATTTACTGTTCAGCTCTCTTAAAGTGTCTCTCAGAGACAGGGTCACAGAGTCTGACAAAGAATTTTTTTCCCCTGGTCCGTAAAAGGGACAGAATTTTTGAAAAATGAATTGTCCTAAAAAATCTGGGGCATGTGGTCACCTCCTTCAGGACAGGAATTGTATTCTATTCTCTTTGTGTTGTCTTTGGCAGTCAGCACAGTATCTCATGGTAGGATACATGCTGAAGAAATAGTAAATTGACTTGACAGAGTCACCTGGTTCATTATTGGCAGGGCCACAAACCCTAGATTTGGATTCAGAAAACCCTTGTTCAAATCCCAAACCTGACACTTGTTACCTGTGTGACCTTTGGCAAATCACTTAACTCTTAGCCCTTAATCATCTTATCTGGAGTAGAGGTTCTTTCCAACTCCAAATGTCTAATCCTGTGAATCCAAATCCACTGATTCCCATTGTAATGCTCTTTGCAGGACATCACAATGACTTAATTCTCAATCAATATTTAATTAACAGTGATCCAGTACCAAGGGAAATACATAAATACCTAGACTTCTTCCCTGAATATAGGCAAGAGAACTAAGGCAATAAATTGAGCTTGTGGGGTTGTTATTTCACATTGTAAAATGATCTAATATAGACCTAGAATTTTTTAAAACATTAATAGTAATAGTAAGAGTTAACATTTATAAAGTATTTAATGTTTGTAACTCATTATGTATTACCTCATTTGATCTTCACAACATGAAGTAGCTGTTGTTATTATCTCCATTTTGCAAGTGAGGATATAGGCTAAGAGACATTAAGCAATTTCCCCGGGGTCACACAGGTATAAGTAAGATGAGATTCAAACCAGTTTTTCCTGATTCTAAGTCTGATTCTCTCCACTTTACCACAATTTATCATCTAAAAGTTCCACACAAATAAAGCCAAAGGATAGTAATAGAGAAATCTATTATTTTCTATTGCTACAAGATTGCAAAATCAGGAGATTACTTCTATAGCCAGACTTTACAAGCTAAATAATCTGGTCAATTTTACAGCATAATAATTTGGGAAGGGTATAGAAAAACTCCCATTGTGGCCACTCAGATCCCACCAAACAGATAAACCTGTCTGTGGAATAGTAGAAAGAATTACCCGAGGAACTTGCCCAAAGTCAAAGCTAGTAAATCTTAGTGGCAGAGTTGAAATCCATGTTTTTTCAAAACACTAAGTATTTTTCTAAAGTAGTACTACATATTACTTAACCCTGGAGGAAGAGATGCCTCTTCATGGTTTGTTTCCTGACAGGTGTCAACTCTGTTTATGCCGAACATGTCTAATTTAAAAGTAGGCTGCCTTTTTGGTATAAGGAGACAGAATTTTAAAATGTTGCTACCTTCTTCTGCTAATTTATGTGAAAATGAATGATTGAAGAAAACTAAAACCTATTTCAAAACTGAAGGATGATAAATGATAGCTAACATTTATATAGCATGTACTGTATGCCAAGGACTGTGCTGAGCACTTTACAATTATTTTCTCATTTGAGCTTTACAGCAACCCTGAGAGGTAGGTACCATTATCCCCATTTCACAGATGAGATAACAGACAGAGATCTTGCCCAAGCTTACATAGCTAATAAGTGTTAAAGGCACGTTTTGAACTCAGGTCTTCCTGACTTCAGACCCAGCTACAGATTCACTGTACCACCTAGCTGTGTTGGTAGCAAAGTGAACTTGAAATTTCATATAGTATAGTACCAAGATTTAAGATATATTATGATTGTAAATATGATGTATATGTATTGCTAAGACTTGATTAGATGAAATCATGACTGGAATTCAATATGGAAAGAGTATATTCTCCATACAAAAAAACTAATCTTAAGAATGGTAGAATTGTAAATGATTAAATATGTTTATAAAAAAAAATGATCAAACCCAGGAATATAACAATAATGGAAAGCATTTGGATAAGTTCAAAAGGAAAGATAAATTAATGTTGTTATAGAAGTATACTAGACACCAGATTGAGAACATGACAATTTCCTAACACAGATTCCCTCTCTACTCTCTTCCCTCCCCTCCCCTCCCTTCTTCTCTCTCTGTGTGTGTCTCTCTCTCTCTGTCTCTCTCTCTCTTTCACACACACTCACACACTGTATTTTAGCATTAGAGATGGCAGCACAAGTACAATGAAAGGAACAATGGATTTGGAGTCAGAGGACCTAGACTCAAACTCCCTCTGCCATGACCTTTGTTACCTCAGTCAAGCCACTAAGCCTTTCCACTATCATCAACTAGATAGTCTCTAAGGTCCCTTCCAAGTTTAAATTTACCATCTTTATCCCTTCACCTTTTCATCCCTGTTCTCCAAACCCATTTGTACTAAAACAGAGCATCTAATTAATTCCTAAATTGCTGACAGTCTCATCTCAGAAGGCAGAAAATAAAGCATTTAGTCCTACACTTAATTCTTACCAGAAAAGTAGAATATAAGAGTGGAGTGAACCTCTAGAAACAGTATAAAGCGTGCTGAAGTCTTGTAGCCACCACCTCATCCCTGCCTCTAAGGCAGATGCAGCAGGAGGGGAACTCTGCAATGTAAGATCATTGCCTCAAAAAGGTAAAGAAGAAACCTGTCCAGTAGGAAGCCATCTGAAGGCAGTCTCAAGAGGAAAGAAGGTTTACAGCTGCTTAAAAATGGAGCAGAATAATTAAAGCCTCCAAAGGCAGAACTTGTACACTATTCACTCTTATTCTAGTTCCCCACCTCCCTACTACCAACAGTACAATTCTAGCACTGTTTTTACCTTATATCAAGAGGCAATTTAAAGCTAATGTGTTTCTGTTTCATAGAACTGTTAAAGGCTATGGAAGTCAGTGACTTCACAATGGAAGCAAGTGTATTCTGGGCAAAATGCTGCTCTAATTGTCTTACATTTTACCCTTTAAATAGCCTATTGCCTTTTAGTTCATTTAGCTAGATCATGATATTAATTAGAATGAGACAATGAGTTTAAAATCCATGTCTAAAGACATGAAGAAATTTTGTAACTCATGACCTAGAGAACCATGTAAAATATAGATGGAGCAGCATGAAACCATTATCTCTACTACAAAGTAACTTTTAAAAATTATACCTAAATTTAGGGGCAGCTAGGTGTCGCAATAAATAGAACTCCTGCCTTGGAGTCAAGAGGACCTGAGTTCAAACCCGACCTCAGACCTTGACATTTATCAGCTTGTGACCCTGGGCAAGTCACTTAACCCCAATTGCCTCACCCTCCAAAAAAAAAAAGCAAAAAAAAAAATTATACCTAAATTTAATTATATCCTTTAATTATTTAATTTAAATTATAGCCTAGTAATAGGTTATAGGAAGGAAAGTAGGAGCTTCAGGAAGGACTTGTCTTTTATTTTGGAAAATTTGTTCACATTTCCTGGAGCTAAATTGGGTCATCAAAATAGAAAGAAGTATTTACCCTTAGGTACCAATTTTTTGTGTTTAAAAATTCATTTTCATAAAGTTCCCTCGTTTTACATTACTTTTTGTACAATCTGAATTCCTAAATCAGCAGCTGTTTGATAGATAAAAATAACTACATTTTTGTAAATGTCTTATATGAATATACATTTAAAATTAAGTGCATACAATATACAAGGCAGATTTCTGTTTTCCTATTAAACTCCCAAGTTAGACATTATTTTTAATTTCCTCATCACTGTAACTTGTTTGGTTAGTCAATTTCTAGAATCATTGCTTATTTTAAAAGTCAAATCCTGGTTCCAACTTTAATTACTGTCTAAACCAAAAATCATTGGTTAATTGTAATTTCAACTTGAAAATTAGCAAGTGAAATTCTTACTATTCTTAGCATTTTTAAAACTTATTTTCCAGGTGCTAACTGCCAAAGAAAGGAAAACTCAAATTGATGATAGAAACAAACTGACAGAACATTTTATTATTGCACTTCCTATGTTGCTATCAAAGGTAAAGTCTCTATGAAACTATATTAGATGTTCAGACCATTCTTTTTATGCTTAACATTGAATTTTATTATTTTCACGTGTTCATTCCTTCCAGTATTCTGCTGATGCCGAGAAGGTAGCTAATCTGCTTCAAATTCCACAGTATTTTGACCTAGAAATCTATAGCACAGGCAGAATGGAAAAGGTAGGTCTGGAGCTCTGCAACTAAATTCAATTTTATTAAATAATCATATGGATTTGATTTGTAATGGATAATGATTTTCCTTTTGATTATTCATGTTTTGTTATTTATAGCAATATCTCAAATTAATTCTTTTTACTCTCCAGCATCTGGATGCCTTATTAAAGCAAATTAAATTTGTTGTGGAGAAACATGTAGAATCAGATGTCCTAGAAGCCTGCAGTAAAACTTACAGCATCTTATGTAGTGAAGAATATACAATCCAAAATCGAGTTGATATAGCTCGGAGCCAACTAATAGATGAATTTGTGGATCGATTTAATCATTCTGTAGAAGATCTCTTGCAAGAGGTTTGTTTTTTGTTTTCTTAGTCAAACTACATGTATTTTGACTTTGTTTTATGATTAGTTAAAATAGCCTTACAGTTATTCAGATTGCCTATAGAAATATTAACTGTCCTTCCAAATTTTAATAGGGCCTTCACAATGATATACCTAAAAATCAATGTAATTCACACTTTGACTGATTTTTCCCCCCACTGGAGAGAGGGTTTACTTCTTTTTTGTCTTGCACCAGGTATGTGACTAATTTCATACGTACCAGATGCCTACTCTATGCAAAATACAATTTAAAAAACCTTTAGATTAGCTCTACAGGTAAAGGATGTCATTTTACTACTGATAAAGGTTTCAGAATAGCATATATAGCTCCATTTTCTACATTCTCCTTATTTTGACAGCCATATTTTTTTCTGTCTGTAGAGAATGGGCTGCAACCCTTAGTTTAAAAAACCCTTATAAAACTTTAACTCCTTGCTATTTCTTCTTTCGGCCATGAAGAGCAAGGTGGTAGGATATATTTTTTAAACATAGATGGCAAATTTTCTTTTAAAACAGTCTCCTTTTTCTGTTATTTGTATGTATTGTTCCAAATTCAATATTTTGCGTATCAGCAAAACTTATTATTTTTATTCCTAGTTTACCTATTGAAAAGGAACTGAAAGTTTTTACAGCTATGTATCTTAAGCATTTCCACTTTGTTTTAGCTTGTTCATATAAGGAAAAATCCCAATCATAGTAATAAGTTTGTTTTATTTATAGGGAGAAGAAGCTGATGATGATGATATTTATAATGTTCTCTCAACACTAAAGAGATTGACTTCTTTTCACAAGTACGTCATCTTATTTGGACTTGATTTAATGAAAGATATGTTAGAACAAGAGATGAATTAAGATTGTCCCTATACAATATGATTAAGGTTTTTAGATAGTTTAATATCTAGATAAAAACTAAGATTTAATAAAAATGCATTTGTTTTTACCATGTTGGATTTTTTAGTATATATTTGGTTTTTCAATACTTTCAAGTAAAAAATATCAAATAGACCATATTTACAGTAATTTTCTAGGTATTAAATTGCAGTTTTTATCCATTGGTTTTTCTTATGGTTATAACTTGAATGTCGTTTAGGAAAGATGAAGATCACTAGACAAATAACTTCAGCTTTCTGGACTTTAGTTTCCTTATGGATAAAACTGAGAGGATTAGACTAGATAATTTATAAGATCTCTTCTAGTTCTAAATCCAGTGAATTCTACAAGATAACTTTCAGCATTCATTTATTTTATTACAAAAGGTTTAAGCCAATATTCGATATTTTTCAACCAACAAACCTAATTTTAAAAAAAAAATGGGTTGGGTTTGTAGGCATTAATGAAAATGACAATATTTTGGCAATATTTTACAAATGTCAATAAAACTTAGTAAAATTTTAAATCAGTGTATAGTTGAAATAGCACAGGGTTTAGAATCAGAGAATCTGGGCTACAATTCTGGCCTATTGGCTTATCAACAATGTGGCCTTGAACAGTTCATTACCTCTTTGAACCTCAGCTTCCTTATCTTTAAAATGAGGTAGTCCAAATACATTATCTCTAAGGTTCCTTCTAGTTCTTAACCCTATTATCATAAATACTTTAAATCTTTGGACCTTAGTTCTTCCAGTGATCTTTAAGATCCATTCCATTTGTAAATTTTATGATTCTTATTTATTCTTTTCTTGTTTTTTGTTTTTGTTGTTGTTGTTATTGGGGCATGGGGGAAGGGAATACAGTGATAGAGATTTTGTTTCCCATGATAAGTTAGTAACTCTGAAAGACACCAAAACCTGAAAGCTAGATTTGGATTGGGAAAACAGGGTTCAAACTGTTTATTAAATGTCAATTTCAAATTGTAACATTCAGGTACTGTAAAATGAGGAAAAACTGTTTTCTGAAAGAAGTAATATAAATCAAATTGGAAGTTTCTACATATTAAAAAGACTTTCAGTCAACTGATAAATTGTCTAGCACCTTTAGGTTCAGAAGGATACTCCTTTTTTTTTCCAATCTTTTAAATTAAACTTTCAATTAAATATTTTCTCTTTTATCAAAACCTTCCCCATCTCCACTTCCATTGGGGGGGGGGACCCTTTTGACAAATATGCATAGCCGAACAAAACAAGTTCCCACATTGACCACTTCTGAAAACGTGTTTTATTCTGCACCTTGTGTCTGTCACTTCTCTGTGAAGACTTGAATAGCATTCTTCCTTATTAGTCCTCTGAAATCATGGTTAGTCATTGTGTTGATTAGAGTTCTTAAGTCTTTTAAAAATTTTTGATTTTATGCATTGTTATTATATAAATTGTTCTCCTGGTTCTGCTCACTTCACTCTTATCAGTTCATCCAAGTCTTTCCACTTTTCTCTGAAACCATCCATTTGCCATTTCTTATGACACAATAGTATTCCATCATATTCATGTATCATGATTTGTTTGGCTATTCCTTAATAGATGGGCATCCATTTAGTTTCTTGTTCTTTTCCCACCAAAAAAGAGCTCCTATAAATAATTTTTGAAATATTAGTCCTTCTTTATTTTTTATCTCTTTGGGATATAGAAGTAAATTTCTAAAAAAAAAAATTTTTTTTAAATAAGAGTTCACAGTTTAAAAAGAGGAAAGAGAAACATTGCAGAAATAACTACTATGTAGTTCAACTAAAACCACATTGTTAGACAGCTTGTACGCATTTTGAGGATAGTGATCATTTATCATGATGCCCATAGCCTAAGTGAACTATTGGTACACTCATACTACGCCTAATAAATCTTCCTATTTCACTCTCCTCAGCGTGTGTTTTTTCTCTTTTTCTATATCAATGTATCTCTTTTCTTTCTGTTCATCTTTTATTTCTTTGTGTTTATATCTGTATGTTTCTGTCTCTCACTTTTTCCATCTCTGCTTCAGTCCATCTGTCTTTCTTTTCCCTACTCTTGTCTTTCTCTCTAACATAGCATGTTACAGGAAAACGTTTCCTATTTGCTATTATTTTTAAATTTCAGTTTGTAAGACCAGGTATATAAGGTTATTTGTAGACTGCTATCAGGTCTACAGTGGCAATATACTAAAATATTCAGTGGTAATATAGAGTATAGCTTCATGGTTCATATAGAAAAGTTTTCTATTAGCGTGGTTGACCAATGGTATCAGTCACTTATGTTTTTCTATAAAAATAAAATTAATTAAATCAAAGTAAAGCATTAGTAATCTTCAGTTGCTAGATATAATGAAGTGATACTTCATTTGAATGATTTTTAAAAAATAATTCTCTAAACACCATGCACTATTCAAGTGCCTTCCTCACTAATCTTCTACTCTTAATTACTGTTTAATCTTCTTCCTCTTGTGAGGCTTTAAACCTTATACTCTAGGCTAATATATAATACAAGTCTCTTTGGTAGAGGGAGGTATGGCGCTGGCAGGAGACTTTGCTCTACCCAAAAATCCTTATCTGTTACTACTTTTTGTTAATCCTAAGGAATATTTTAAACTGCGTTTGTCACTGTATTCTATTCAGCTTTCCTTCTATGGTTCATTTCCTAGCAAAATTGATATTTCCAAATCCTGATTCTACTTCCTTTCTGATTCTACTACACAGCACATTTCCCTTTGAACCCAGTCTTGACATTAACATGTATACAGTTGGTTGTACATACTCTTGTACTTCTTTACTAACTTTAACTGGATCCCAACTCATTCCAAAGCTACTTTTAAGTTTTTAAAAGCTTAAACTGTCGTCTTCCAGAAATGAATTTCAGAATTATTTCAGATGAACATACCTGACCTTTTTTTAATAGGTGTAGTAGTCTCTCCATTATTGTATTTATTGAATAGAGATTTTGTTTTCTGTTCATTTTTAATAGCTTGGTTGTTTTATTTTTTTTAATATGTTTAGATTATTTTAACTTGAATACTAAGCATTTACTCTACCAAAAGATTTTTCATCTTTGCAAATCAAGTTGCCATATTCATCCAGCCATTGGAACATAGCCTAGTTTTTCATTTACGCTTTTCCTCCAAGAATAAAGTTAATATATTTTCCCCATATCTTTTTTCTTTTCAGTGCTCATGACCTTACAAAATGGGATCTATTTGGTAACTGCTACAGATTACTGAGGACTGGAATTGAGCATGGAGCTATGCCAGAACAGGTTAGAAACTGGGCAGGTGCCTAGTGTTTGACTTTGGTAAACTAAGCTGCTTGACTTTCAAAGGAAATTCATGGACAATCAACAAAGTTAATTAATAAATCTTTTAGATACATCTTAGAGATTTAGTATTGCAGGTAAGTATGAGTTACCACACTTAAAGAAATACCAGAAACTAATGGGATAGCTATTTTAATAATATGTTTTTTTTGTTGTTCAGTTGTTTCAGTTATGTCCAACTCTTTATGACCCCATTTGGGGTTTTCTTGGCAAAGATACTGGAGTGTTTTGCCATTTCCTTCTCCTGCTCATTTTACAGATGAGGAAACTGAGGCAAAGAGGTAAATGACTTGCCCAGGGTCACACAGCCAGTAAATGTCTGAGATCGGGTTTGAACTCAGGTCTTCAGACTCCAAGCCTGGCATTCTATCCACTGCACCACTCGCTGCCCTAATACTACGCTTGCACTGTAATTTAATAATCCTGGTAACTTTCATTAAAATGTTGAGAGAGAGAGAGAGAGAGAGAGAGTGTGTGTGTGTGTGTGTGTGACAGAGAGAGAGATTGGGTATAGATACTGCATTTAAGAGGCCCAGTGGATAGAGTGCTCAACCTAGAGTTAAGAAGATTCATTTCCGGGGCAGCTAGGTGGTGCAGTGGATAGAGCACTGGCCCTGAAGTCAGGAGGACCTGAGTTCAAATCCAGCCTCATACCAAACACTTGTCACTTACTACCTGTGTGACCCTGGGCAAGTCACTTAACCCCAATTGCCTTAAAAAAAAAAGAAGAAGAAGAAGAAGATTCATTTCCTGAGTTCAACTCTGGCCTCAGACACTCGGAAATTGTAAACTGTAAAATGAGCTGGAGAAGGAAATGGCAAAACACTATAATGTCTTTGTCACAAAAACCCCAAATGATGTCACATAGGCATGACTGAAAATGACCGAACAACAACAACAAATATTGCAGAGACTGGACAAAAATTACATGGAAGTTTCTAAAAAAAATTAGGAATGAAATAGTTAAATTCTGTTGGTATAATCAATCAACAAATATTTATTAAATACTTACTATGAGCCTATGTTAGGTACCAGGGATAAAAGTACAAAGAATGAAAAATATGTGTACTCACAAGAGCTTATATTTTAATTGAAAAATAACAAGTATATGTAAAAATATATATTGTATAAATATAAAGTTAGTAAATAAAAATAAACACAAAGTAGCTGAATACAGGGTAGTTTGCGAGAAAGGCCACTAGTAGTTGCTTTCATCTTAAAACAGTATCCTTTCCCACTTCTTCCATCTTCCAGCTCTCACTGATGCTCTCTGCCTCCTGATAACACTGCATCTATGGCTAGCCTTTCTGGTACCAGTTACACTTTTACTCAAATTCCCTAACTTCTTGGTCCTCACTACTACTTCCACTCTCTTTCTCTATCTCCATCAATTTTATCACTTCAGGATTCTGGTCATTGTTATTTACTGGCCCCATAGGGACTCTCTTATTTTTAACTCCAGAGTTCAATTCCTGGTTCACAGTCTTTCTCTGCACCTCAGCTCTTGCCCTCATAACTGGAGATATCAACATACATGATAATACTCCCTCAAATATTCTAATTTCTGAGTTCCTCAATCTACTCAATTTTTGGCCTACTCCTCCACCATGCCTCAACTACACAGAAAGATGGTCATGCCCTTGATCTTGCCATTACCCACAAGTGTTTCAGTTCCATGTTCATAATCTCTGCAATTGCTGTATCAGGTCACAATTTTTTATTCCATTTTTCTGCCTTATGACCCCCTAATCCTATTCTTCATCTGCCCCATAGCCTCCAGTGCCTATACCCCTCAGTTGTTTTCCAAATCACCTTCTGTGCACTGGACACCTCCTTTCCACATCTGGACCTCTTGAGAACCCAGTTCAACTCTATATTGTCCTCTTAGAAATCCATTGCCTTCTTATTTTCTTGCTAGTCATGCTTTGCCAAACCCCCATGCTTGGATTTTTCCCACTATCAGCTGCCTTTCGTTCTATTCATGTGATGCCAAATTGAGCTAGAAAAAAAATCATTAAGCCATGCTGGCAGGTTCTACTCCAAATTTATGTTATGTCATCTCAACTGGCCCTCATTGCAGCAAGGCAATCTCTTTATACCTCCCAAATCAGTTTGCTAGCACACCTCCTCCACAACAGTCTAGAAAACAGAAAAATCAAAAAAAAATCATAATTAGTCATTTTTCTTGCCCTGAGGGAAGCTTAGGGAGATAGAAAGATCTACACACACTAGAGATATGGGGCCAGGAGAACAATTTGGCAGCAGGGAGCATTCTAGCACCCAAGGACAGAAAGAAGACTAAGTACACCAGGGCAGTTACTACTGGGGCAGGATCAGATTCTTGAACTAGTGTTGAATGAAAGGACAGTTGCCATCTCGAGCTCTGTCTCTCATTGCCCAATTCCAGCTAACCAGTCCAGGGCAGAGAGGAGTAATCACAAGGGAACATGGGCCCACTAAGCAGCAAACAAGTTTCAGAAATGTAGTTATATGGCTTCTTATCAATCTGCTGAAACTGAGCTACACACAAGCCAATAGTCTCCAACCTGGGTTAGGAACTTGCAGACCATAGACCAGGAGAGCAGTGAATAGACCTCATCTCGGATCACACCATTTTTGGAGCATTGAAAAATTAGAAGCCCCCAGACTGAGTTGCAAATGAAGACATAAAAGGACAGAAGTTGAGCCAAACATTTCCTTTCCCCTCCCCCAAGAAGTGTCCGAGTCTCAGTACTAATATCAAGTTGGAAGTCAAGACACAATGAGCAAAGGAAAAAAAAAACACTCTATCATAAAGAGCTACTGTGGAGACCTGGAAGCTCAAAACACAAACACAAAAAGAAGAGAATAACTTAAACATATCTATAAATAAAACCTCAAAGAAAAATGCAGATTGGACACAAACACAAGAATTCATAGAATAATTAATGGCCATAAAAAAAAGAAGAAAAAATGGGAAGAGAAATGAACACTATGTAAAAAAGTTATTTTAAAATAAGAGTTAACAGCTTGGTAAAAGAGGTACAAAATATTAAAGAAGAAAATAAATTTTAAATATTAAAATTGGCCATTTGGTGGTGGTGTTTTTTGGTTTTTTTTAAAGGAAGATAGGTGGCACAGCAGATAGACTCATCTTCCTGAGTTCAAACCTGGCCTCAGACACTTATTAGCTGTATGACCTTGGGCAAGTGCTTAACTTTGCCTCAGTTTCCTTATCTGTAAAATGAGCTGAAGAAGGAAACAAACCATTCTAGTATCCTTGTGAAGAAAACCCCAAATAGAGTCACAAAGAGTTAGGCACAACTGAACAACAGCAACAAAATGGTAAAAGAGGTAAAAAAAAATATTACTGAAGAAAATAACTCATTAAAAATGAGAATTGGCCAAATTGAAGCCAGTGATTCCACAAAAAGTCAAGAAATAATAAAATCATCAAAAGACTGAAAAATAGAAAAAGATGTGAAATAACTTAAAGGCAAAAGAACTGACTGAAAAAAATAGATTGAGGAGATATAACTCAAGAATCATTGGATTACCTGAAAGCCACAAATAAAAAAGAGCCTATACATCATATTTCAAGAAATTATATAGGAAAATCACCCCAATATCTTAGGCCAGAGGGTAAAATAAAAATTGAAAGAATCCACTGATCACCTCCTGAAGGAGATCCCAAAATGAAAACTCCCAGGTCAAGGTGAAAATTCTGCATGCAGCCGAAAGAAATAATTTAACTACCACAGAGCCAAAGTCTGTATGACACAAGATTTAGCAGCCACCACAAAGGAACAGAGAGCTTGGAATATGATATTCCAGAATGCAACGGAGCTGAGACTACAACCAAGAATAACCTATCTAGAAAATTACCTAAAGGGGAAAAAATAGATATTTAATGAAATAGAGGACTTTCAGGCATTCCTGATGAATTTAAAAATTGAGATTCAAAAATAGCACTTCAGAAGCATAAAAAGGTGAACATGAATGAAAAATCATAAAGTAATAAAGAAGGTTAAACCGTTCACATTCTTTTATATTGGGAGATGATTCATTTAACCCCTTAGAATTTTATTATCAGCAGATGTTTTAGGGCCTGGATGAGATTCTTTTGTTGAAATGACCTAAAAAGAAGAATGGAAGGGACGGAAGAAAAATGTACTGGCAGAAGGAGGAAAGAGAGAAGAAGAAATTATCCCACAAAAGTATAGTGGGTAAGGAAGAGTTCATACAGTGTAGGAAGCAGTGTGATTGAAAGGTGATGGAATGGGTAACACTTGAACCTCACTGTCATCTAAACTGTCAAGGAGGGAATAATATTCATGCAAACACAGTTCAGTACAGAAATTCATCTTACCAACAAGAAAATAGGAGGGAAGGGGATTAAGTGAGAAAGAGAGGAAAGGATAGTAGAGAGGGCATATTAAGGGGAGGCATTGGTCAGAAGCAAAACAGACCCTTGAAGAGGAGATAGGGAAAAAAGGTAAGGAAAGTATAAGAAAATAAGATTAAGGGAAATAGATAATTTACAGTCATAACTGTGAATGTGATTGTTATGAACTCTCACCCATAAAACCAAAGAGAAGAGTGGAATGGATTAGAAACTAGAATCCAACAATATTTTGTTTATAAGAAACACACAGTTATAATAAATGAATAAAGCAGAATCTATTATGCTTCAATGAAGCTTAAAAAAATGGGACTAGAAATCATGATCTTAGACAAAAGCAAAAATAGACCTCAGTAAAAGAGACAAACTAGGAAACTACGTTTTACTAAAAGATACCATAAATAATGGATCAATAGCAATCCTGAACATATATTCACCAAATGGCATAACAGCTCAATTTTACAGGAAAAGTTAAATAGGTTACAGAAAGAAACAGACAGTTAATCTTTATCATTGGGGACTTCAGTTTATACCTTTCAGATCTAGAGAAATCAAACCTAAA